ATAAGTCTACCCAACTTTACCATAAGTCTACCCAGCTAAAGATGATCTCCAGGAATAGTACTTACTTAATAATTCTGCACACAGTGTATATATGTCTACTAGGACTAGGTGTTAAAATTCCTTGATGATCAGTACTGTATGGCGATTTCCTCTTAGGTAGGTGACCTCATGGGTTTTCATTTGAGGATGCTCTGCCTCCAGTACGACACATCGTCAGTTGTGTACCCCGGGGTCATTGGGTGTTTCGGCCATTCTCCTTCCTCTTCAGCCACAGTCAATGGCTGCTTCTTATGGCAGTATCTGCAAGCTCCTTGATTCTCTTCTGCTGAGCCTGCCCTCTAACTCCCACCTCCTTCAGTAGCCTTGTGGTGGATCTAGCTACAAAGCCCCCGCAACCCACCTCTACTGGCCGTCCTCTGTTTCAGCTGCCAGGTTTGCATATCGCATCTTTTTCCTTTCAAATGCCTCATCGATTGCTTCCTCCCATGGGATTGTCAGCTTCACAATAAAGACACGTCGACAGGATTTGGACCAAAGCACTAGGTCTGGCCGCAGGTTGGTTGCTGCGATTTCAGGTGGGAAAGTGAGCCTCTGATTTAGGTCCACCTACATTTCCCAATCTCGGGCTGCATTCAGCGGACCTGAGTCTGGAGATGTTCTTTTGGCCTGCTGCTTCTACACCTCCCAGACGAAAGATGTCTGTAGCCAAAAGGCAGTTCCAATTTCCACAGGCATAGCATTGGTGGCCGCCCTTTTGGCCTCTAGTGCAGCTGCCAAGCACCTTAGCACTTGGTTGTGGCGCCAGTTGTATCTGCCTTGAGTAAGGCTCGTCTTACAACCCACCAGGATGTGTTTTAGGGTTGCTGGGGCAGCACACTGGAGACAGGCCAGATCCTCTCCCAAACCAAAGATTTAAGTTTGTTGGAGAGGGCAGGACATCATATGTGGCTCTGATGGTAAAGCTCAACATATTAGACTCCATGTTCCAAAGCTCGCTCCAGGTTATCTTTCTCCTCTCCACGCCATCCCACTTCATCCAGCAGTCTTGCTTGGCTTGGGACACGACCCTAGCACATCTGCCTACTTCCTCCTGGTGTCACACCTCCTCTATCACCAGGCGCCGGCGTTCTACTGCTGTAGACTTCTGCCATGTGGGTGTTGTTGTTCCCAGTCCTAGGCCCCCTGTGCCAATTTGGACTTGGCCCACTATGTCCCGATGTCTCAGGATGGTCTTTGCCTGTGCCACAGCTACTCCTGGCCTCCACTTCCTCCCTGTTGCCAGAATGGGGGCAGCACCTCTAATCAAAGGATCCCGGGATTCTGTGAGGGTCATTTCAAGCCTTGCTTTGGAGCATTTATACTCTTCCACCAGGCTTGAGATTGGGAGAGAGAGAGCTCCATTGCCGTACAGGCCTATGCTACTGAGGCATCTGGGTAGTCCAAGCCAGTTCCACACCTGGGCATTCACCAGCCTCTCTAGCCGCTTGGAATGGGATAGGGTGACCTCATAGATGGAAATTGGCCACATGAGGCGAGGCAACAGTCCAAACTGAAAGCACCAGAGCTTCTGCTTCCCTGGGACAGCAGTGCTGTTTATTTGCTTTAGGTCACTGATGGTGTGCTTCCTGAGTTGTTCCACCTGTTCGGAGTCTTTAAGCTCTGCATTGTACCATCTTCCAAGGCTTTTGATGGGCTTTTCCTGAATCATTGGTATCGGCACATCGTTAATATGGAACCTCACATTGGTGAGCTGGCCCTTGACGATGGAGATACCTTGGGATTTGTCTGGTTTAATCTCCATTGGTGCCTACTTGATGTTACCCTGGAGTTCATCCAGCAGGCGTCTGGTGCATGCCTTAGTCAATGTTATAGTCGTCATGTCATCCATAAATGCCCTCTTCAGGCGTTCACCTCCAACCACCCATCGAGAAGCTCGAATAATTAACTCCATCACCATGGTAAAGGCCAGTATATCTCTACTAGACCCCACAGATGAAGATGCCTAAGTCTTATCTGACCCATGTGTGATAAGTAATTTTGCAGAAACACTGTGCATTTCATGCAATTTCTGTTGCATTTACAATTGCAGTAGTCACCGGTCACTGAAATGGCAGAGGTAACATCCACCCATTCATTTTCTGAAATCGCTTATCCTGCTTAAGGTTGTGGGGGGTCCAGAGCCTATCCCGGGGCTACAGGCACAAGGCATGGAACAACCCAGGATGGGGTGCCAACCCATCACAGGGCACACTCACACACCATTCACTCACCCACGCACACCTATGGACAATTTGGCATCCCCACTTAGCCTAAGCATGTTTTTGGGCTGTGGGGGAAAACCGGAGTACCCGGAGGAAACCCCAGGATGACATGGAGAGAACATGCAAACTCCACACACATGGAACCTGGTGGAGACTAAAACCCAGGTTCCAGAGGTGTGAAGTGATAGTGCCAACCACTGCACCACCATGTCACCCCTAGAGGTGACATGAAATATTAAATGTCTGTATTCTTCAAATTGTGTGAAACATACACCTTTCAGCAGGAGCCTGGATGTGCATCAGCAGGAAGAAATGAAATGAGTAACTAATATTATTTCTGTTGCCAACTGTTACGCACTGGCCAAGAACGCAGAGGCGAGGAGACAGGATCAGGGAAGATGCGGGGTTTAATGGGAGCGAACATGAAGGAACATGCAGCAAGGCAGATTAACATTACATCAATGACCGGACTTGGGAAACAAACTGAAACGCAGACTAAATACATTGCACTAATGACAGTAACCAGAAACAGCTGATAAACACGGGGAATCCACATGGGGTTAATGAGGGGGCGTGGCACACGAAAGGAGCGGACGATCGG